GTGCATGTTTCATGTTTAAACTATGCACAGTATTTTTAATGGGAAATGCAGTGACGCAATTTGTACACTAACAACTTCGTGTCTTAAGTGTTTTTTATGCAAAGCACAACATGAACTTCTTATATGGAATAACTTCTTTTACTTGGATGATTTAAAAGTGATTACTTTGCAATGCACTTGAAATAACTGCTGGAGACTGAAATATTTAAACATTTCCTTAAACTGCAGACCCTAGAAAGGCAGCTTTCCCATGGATCTTCCTCTCAAGGGCAGGAGTCCATGTCCATTCTATGATGTTTTGCATACGGACTAGGCAGCAGAGCATTTTCTCCCTGCATCTCTTTCTGCCAGGCTGCTTGCTTACACAGAACCTTTTGTTATTTGGCACTTTTAGCACTTTTTATTGCTGTCAAGTTCAGCTGAAATGAAGTAAAATATTCCAGAGAAAAGTGATGTACCAAGAGATGCATATTAACTAACAAAGGCTAGGCAAAAAACATATCCAACTACTCTCTTGCACTCTGCTATCATGTTTGTACCTAAGGCCTGCTATCAGTTAAGGCTATGTATTGAGTATTAAAATGCACCCTAATTCAGACTTTCAGGTTAGGAATACGCTCCTTGACCACTTGAGATGTATGTGTAAAATTAGAATCCAACTCTGAAAATACAGTCTCATGTCTAAGATGGTATATCAGGCCTGCAGCAAGTAATTGCATACTACATAGCTGAAATAGGAGTTCAGAAAAAGAAGGGTTTTTTTCCCCAAAACATGGAAGTGTAGGTAGTAATTATAAACAACTCATTCATTCTGAATGTTGTGCTGATGGACATAAAGTGAAACAAATGTTAGAATAAGTGGGAGAATTAATTTGGTTTTTTTCCATATTGTTAAGAGTGTGCCTTCACTGAACAAAATTTAAGTGTAAAATGCCCTGCAGATTGAATTATTCTGTTTGATTGATATACATCGGTACTGCTTCTCTTTCAGATGAAGTGGACTACAGCAATTTTGGGACCAACACGCTATCAAGGAAGAAGAAGGCTCTGGTGACACTCCGCAATGACAATCTCCGACGGCGTCCTCACATTAACATTAGCATGCCTCATGATTTTAGACCAGTATCTTCCATAATTGATGTGGACATTCTTCCTGAAACGCACAGGAGAGTGAGGCTGTATCGACACGGGTGTGAGAAACCCTTAGGATTTTACATTCGCGATGGCACCAGCGTAAGAGTTACTCCTCATGGACTGGAAAAAGTACCCGGTATCTTCATCTCTCGTATGGTTCCTGGTGGCTTAGCAGAGAGCACAGGCTTGCTGGCTGTGAATGATGAAGTCCTGGAAGTTAATGGCATTGAAGTAGCAGGAAAGACTCTTGACCAAGTCACAGACATGATGATTGCCAACAGCCATAATCTTATTATCACAGTCAAGCCAGCAAACCAGAGGAACAATATTATTCGGAGCAGTAGGATGTCTGGTAGCTCTGGCCAGTCTACAGACAGCACTGCGAGTCACCACAGCTTGCCTACATCCCATGTGCTGCAGAACTTCCACCCCGATGAAATGGAGAGTGATGAAGAGGCTGACATTGTCATTGAGGGTGGTCTGGAGCCACAGCACATTCCTAAACTGCACAGCCTTACTTCCAGTAGCCTCTCTCGAATCAATGGCAGCAGCCTTAGCCACAGACTTCAAAGGGACCTGGTGCTCAACAACAACTCTGGCCGAGAAAGCAATGGCAACATCCACAAATTACTCAGTTCCTTAAAAACTGATCCCCGACACAGTCTGGTTATCCCCAGAGGAGGTATCGAGGAGGATGGAACAGTCATTACGCTTTAGTAGCAACTTCTGCAATTCTCCTTACAGTCTTAAGTGCCAATTGGGACAATTAACTCGTGCAACATGTTATGCACAAAACAGGGAGCTGATATTCTCATAGACCTCACGGGTGCAGAAAATTGTTGCTTTCTAGGAAACGTGGCATCTGGAGTTAGACATAAAGCTGTCGTGCACTGCAAAATTTGTCGGGAGAAAGCCAGAGTGCAAAATCTGGTTCATATCCCAGCCCTGAAGTGAGAAAACAAATTTGTTTTAGTTGTTATAAATCTAAGCAGTCTTACAGGCTACCCATGGCAATGCTACATACTTGGGTTTGAATACATGGGTGGATGTATTAATACATGCATGTATATGAATTAGATTTTAATAGTAACAGACATGTCTATTTGAAGTGGAACCTGGTTTTCTTCTAATACTGGCTTAAAGGGGGCACTTCTTAACAGCCATCCCATCTTCTACTGTTACACACAGCCCTTCTGCTAACTTGTTTACACCATATTTTCAGCCTTATGTCTAATCCAGAAGAGCTCTACATAAAAGTAGCTGTTTCCTACTCCGGTGGTAACAACGTTTGGGAGATGCTGCAAATACATTTTCCAAAGGAAACTGTAGATTCTATATATATAAAAATAAGTGGTTCTAGAGGCCCGAGGCGGCCGTGTGTAGGATGTAGCCGTGACTGCTGGGGCACGGTCGCCACCTGCGGGCCAGCGCTGGGAACGCGGGGAGGCACCGACACGGCGGGGTCAGCGCCGCTGTGTGGTGGTGTATTCTTTTCCGATATTTATTAGATCATACCTCTTGGTTTTTTCCCCATCATCTCTCTCTTTTTTTTTTTTTTTTTTCAAAATCATGGTTCACGTGAATTTTTAAAGATGCAAGCAAGAAAGCAGCAGAAGTGGAAGAGTGTACTAGGACTGTCCCCTTCACCTCAGAGCTGACACAATCCCTTGTTCCTTTGGGGCCACCTAAATCCACAAGGTCTTTCCTTACAAAAGATGGGCTGGTTGCCATGCAGAGCTGGAGGGGGATGCTGACTGACTTTCAAACCTAACTGTTATTTTTGGACTCTTCTAGTAATAAAGCTTAACATCTACACAGGATTTCTAGAAACTTAAAATATAGTGGATGTTTGCGATGGTCAGACACCTTTACTGGGTGCTGGCTGTTGGGTGACCAGTGACTGTTGAGTCACAACCTGTCTGCTTCTGAAAATGCCATGAGTCTAAGAAAGTGATTTAATCCAAAATATTTTGTTATATCTCAATCAGTGTAAGAAACAAAATGTAAATGTTTTACGATGTATTTTTCTATTTTTAGCTTGTGTCATTTGCTCTTTGTTTTTAACTTTGTAGTACATTAAAGCTTTTTTTATATGGTGGAATAGACATTTCTTAAATATTGTATGGATATGAAAATTCAGAAGTCTTGGTTTGAAGAAATTACATTCCATTTTGGAATCTGTAATGGCTGGAAAAAGGATGTGCGGACTATTTCATTGTTGCTAATTTAGAATACCTGTGGAACAACCAGTCTTCTGCTCATTGTTAAATATCTTTGGGACATTGAACTTAGTTTATTTCTTTTAGATTTGCTTTAAAAGTTTATTTTAAAAATCTTTCACTTACTCTAATTAAATTTTTTCTAGGTATCACTTATTTTTACTGGCACAGTAAGAATAGATCATTGATCCTGTTCGTCTTAAAACTGTGTTTGTACTTTACCAAAGGTTTTCATTTTTTAAAAAAATCTGATTATTGGTGCAGTAAAAAAAAAGAATAGCTGGATATGCTTCAGTCAATCAGACCATCTTATCAGGAAAATTTTGTTACACCTTAAATAAGACTACTTTTATGAATAAGTGATTTGTCTGGCTGAAGTTACTCGTTTTTCCTTATTTAACTGATGACAATGTGACCTATCTGCAATAAAATGTGCACTGTCTTACTTCTGAGCTATATTCTTTCCCTGTGCTCAAGCTTTTATGTGGAAGTATATCCCATCCCTGTGAAAACAAGGTATCTGGGTTGGATGGCTCTTCAACTATGTAACCATTTTAGTAATGATTTTCTCTGTATTAGTACAGACTTTGATCCCGCTGCTTGATCTCAGTGATACTGAGTTTCTTTCCATAATGGTTTTTTTTCCCAGTACTGCTTTTACTAAAGAGTACTGCTACACTGATTTCCTTGGGAACCCACTCATAGCAGTTTTCCCAGTACTGCTTTTACTAAAGGGTACTGTTACACTGATTTCCTTGGGAACCCTCTCAGCAGGGCTGGCTGCAAACCTGAGGGCTTTGAGGGTTAATTCTGACTCCTCAGAAAAAGCCTAGGATACCTCTGGCTTAGTGATCTGCTGCTGCACTGCACTCCTTTGCCTGGAGCCTTCTGGATGTCACTGTCCAAAGAAACCGTGCAGTACAATCTACCCAAACTCTTCCACCTCATTCATCACAGGGGATAGGAAGAATAACTTGTGTTTCACACGCATGTACCCAAGATGAATTACAAACTGAGAACACCCAAGTATTGGTGTGTGAGCTTTAGAGCCAGCACTTTGTGAAGTAACTTTTAAGGCTTGCAGACATTTTGTGCAACGTTTTGGGGTGAGGAGGGGTGGGGGGTGGCAAAAGCAGCTTCTCTTTTGAACGCCCCATACCGATGCCTGAATCTGTGTTATAGCGATTATCCTCTCACAGTGAGCTCCCGTCCCACCTCAGGCCGTTATCAGAGCAATCTGCATGGAAACGCGTCTGACTTGTTCGGGCTTCACAGACCGGGACCCCTTCGGCTATGAGATTAAATTGCCCAACTGGGCTGTAAAGGTGGGCGGCTGAGGGAACAGAGGCGCGCCAGCCGTCCTTAAAGGGCAAATCCTCCATAAGCGCTCCCGGAGAGGGAGCCGCGTTTCTGTCGCAACGCTTCCGAGAGGCGGCGGGGGCAGCAGGGCCTGAGCTTCCAACAGCCAGGCGCGACTCCGTGCCCGGACACTGGCGATCCGTGCACTCAGTCCCGGAGCGGCCACTTCCCGTCTCCCGGGGCGCGGGGGCCGGGCTTGGGAAGGCGGCTCCGCCCGCCGGGAGCGCGGCTGCGCCGGCCCGCCCCGGTCATGTGAGCGGCGGCGACGGCCCATCGCGGCGGGAGAGGGGGGTGGGATGGCGGCGGCGGCGGCCGGAGCGGGCGACGGGGTTGGAGCCGACCTGCTGGGCGCCTGCCCCGGCGCGGACAGCGGGAACGTGTCCCAGAGCCACAGCAGCGCCTCCGGCCTCGGGGAGCCGGAGGACGAGGACGCCTCGGAGGCGTCGCTGAGCGCCACCGCCGCCGCCTACTCCGCGTACCTGCTCGCCGACCGCAGCCTCTTCAGCGAGCAGGTGGGCGAGGGGCCGGGCCGCCTCGGGGGGGTCCTGCCGAGCTCCCTGGGGACAGGGAGCAGTGGTGGGCCCGGCGCCGGGAAGGGAGGGGGTATCCTGGGAGCGCATCCCTCTGGAGCTGGGCGCGCTCCCGCTGTGGTGCTGTGCAGGACAGGACGTACCGGTGTGTCGAGTCCCTTGTGCTCAACAAAGACAAGGAGGGGAAAGCTGCGGGATTTCTGTGAGACTCGTTTTAATGTGGGCGATGTCTGTACTCGGTAGTGTTATTTCTGAGAATCCGGTTTTCGTGTTTTCAAGTACCTTTAAAGGATTTCTGTTTTGCAGATGGAAAGCTTAGACAAGAGTCTAGAGGACTTACTGACCAGAGTGGATGAATTCGTGGGAATGCTGGACATGGTATGTGTACCTTGCATGTAGTTGCGTTTTTAATTAGTGCTTGTGTAAATAAGACATGGAGAGGAAGAAGCCTTCTGTCTAGGTAGGTTCAGTATGAAAACACATTTGGTAATTAGACAGCTTGTGGATAAAACTGCCAAATTTCATGTCAGAGCAAAATACGGCCATATAGCTTTGTGGTCATACAATCATATAATTGTTTAGGTTGGAAAAGACCTCTAAGATAGAGGCCAACTGCTGACCTAGCACTGCCAAGTCCACCATTAAACCATGCCCCTAAGCATCACATCTACACATCTTTTAAATACCTCCAGAGATGATGACTCCACCAACCAGTTCCCTGGGCAGCCTGTTCCAGTGCTTGACAGCCCTTTCAGCGAAGAATTTTTTCCTAGCTGCATATTTACATAGCTTTATTTGTATACTTATCCATGTACCTACAGAGAATCCCATTTTGAATGGTGAAATGACAGGTTTGAAAGAACAATATGATATTCTGCTTCTCCTTTAAAATACGTAAAGGTATGCCCCGTTGGTTTTATAATCAAAGTATCTAATCCGAGTTGCCAAACCTCCAAAGCTAGAGGGGGGGACCCTCTTGTCAGAAAGGCAGCTTTGTTTTCACTTTTGCATTGGGTTAGATGGGGGAACTGAATGTAAAGTTCCTATAAGCTGACACTGGTATACAGGCTGTCTTTTAAAGCGTGGCACATGTAGTTCTGCACAACTCTAGGGGGAACTTCATCCTAGGACTTTTTTATTTTAATAGCAGTAAACCAGGACTTTGTGTCCTGACTTTTTTAACAAACCTGAGGAAAAGTATGGGTAGTAGAATTTAAGTAAAAATTTTAGTTTAATGTGTCTAGTTCTTTAGTATGTCTTGGAAAATGTTCCATCTCAGTTCTAAGGAGATGTAGTAGCCTACTTTTAATATAATTATAAAGGTAAATATTAGCCTATGCAAAATAAATTTTCTTCAAAATTACTTCGAAATTATACAAAAAAGCTAGTGTTTTGGTTTTAATCTAGTATTTCTGTACTAATTTTAATCTGGTGGTTTTAAACTCTGAATTTTAATCTGTTGATTGGAGCGCAGTTCTAGTTTCCAGAATGAAATCTATTAAACACTTTGTTTTATTCATTGATTTTTGTATTATTTCTTTGAATTGTCTTTAGATTCGAAGTGATTCCTCTCAAGTTGTCAATGAAAGTATACCTCAAATTTACTCAAAAGCAATAGAAATGAGGCAGATATATAGGAAGATTGACAAACTAGAGGTAGGTATTTGATATCTCTAGATGCATTCTGTTTCCTAACAGAAGGGGGGGGGAGAATCAATGATGTGCCATGTCTGTGTGTGTGTTCATGCATGCATGTGGAGTGGGCTCAGGCTAGTTTTGTTCTCCGTGTCCAATCTGGGTTCAATACTTCAGGGTTAATAACGAGAACACAATTTATTAGTAATTTCTGGACACTGTAAGCATTCTAAACATTTTTGGATCTTTTTTTTAACATCTTTTTTTAAAACATCTATTTAAAGAAAAAAGGATTTTTGTTTATTGACTGCTCAAAGCAAGGCAGTTTTTATAGTCTTTCAAAGTTACTGTCCTCAGAGACAAATAGAATGAGAGGTCTATTGATTTCTGATAAAGCTTCAAAATTGTGATACAGATCCTTGGTCTTTCTTTTAGTAGTAGTAAGTCTAGATTCTAAGAAGTCCAAATGAGTTACTTGACAGGTAAATAGAAAGACTGATTGTTTTATTAGATTTAACCTGGAGTTCAGCCTTTTAAGTGTCTCAAGTAATTTTTAACAATAAAATGGACTTGTAGGTGGAAGGGAGCATGAAGTTCTTGACTCCTCATTTAAGTAATGGATCACTCACCACTGTTGTGCAATACATAATCCTGTTTTGTTAGTGAAAAAGTCATATTTCTGTTGGTTTTCTTTCACACTAGGCTTTTGTGAAAATGATTGGAAATAGCGTAGCTGGACTGGAAGAACGGGTCATAAAGGCAGAAACAGACCTTGGAGCTTTTCCAAGCACATTCAAGAAAATCTTGCACACAATCAGCATACCATCCTTCCTTAATGTAAGTAAACTTTAGTTACCACATGACCAGCTTCGTTACTCTACTGACTAAAGTAGATTATTAAATTAATAGTAAGTTTGTTACATATGCATCTGAATTTAACTTTTATACACTTCATTAGGATTTTTACAAAGTTTTCAGGCTTAATTAAAAGAAAAAAACCACAACCAAACTTAAAAATCACAATTCCTTACAAGGATTTGTGTAACTTAGCAAAACAAGTCTGAGACAGAAAGAAATGAACGTGAAGGGCACAAACAAGCACATAATGCACCAGCCTTTATACTGAAGCACCCTTGATCTCTGATGATATGCAAAGCAAGTAGGAAGAGCCTGTAGAGGCAGGACTGTTAAAGGATAGTTAGTTAATTTCTCATCTCATTCCTTCATTTTCCTTGATGTTTAAGTTTAGAGTGCTGTCATTTTTTTCTTTTCAAAAAAAACCCAACACAAAGCTGCTATTTATAGGCCAGTTACAAAAACAAACAACTACATAAGTGGCCTTCAAGAATTATTCAACAGTATTTTCCGTTTGTTTTTTTTTTTTTCCTAAAAACAGTTATCAACCAAGGAAATATAATCTTCAATTGAAAAGTTTGGTAGTTCTAATAAAGTGCCTTCTTTTTCAGTGTTGCATGGGAACACTTCATCAGCTTAGTTGTTTTTTCACAATTAATAACGAGAAAACTCTTAAGAAGTGTCAGCAGGCTGAACCTGTCATGTCCAGTGGTTTCTTAGTTTGAGTATGGATAGCAGTAAAAGAACACTCAGAACTTACTGGCATTAATTGATTAGCTAAAAGGCAGGTTACTGTTCTGCAGTGCTACTGGATATTGCATAGTAAAATACCTACTTTCACTAGTAAACACAAGCATATCTGAATGAAAATGCCTATAGAGATTTCTCCTTATGGTTTGGAAAAGAAGGCTTTTCTCATGTCATGATTTTCATTGTAGCTGTAGTTTGTATTTTCCAGGTGCAGTTTTAATTTAATCAAGGTCCCCCCCCTTTCCCTTTAAATGTATCTGTTTCTTTATAGAAAGGATATATTTTGTATTTCTCAAGCTGTGTATTTGTAATCTCACTTTCAGATTTTGCCCAGAGTTCTTCCCTTGTGAATACCAGTCAGTGTAAAGTACAGTACTATAAGACTTCTGGTATCACTAAGGATGTAGACTCTGAAAAGATAAAAAAGTTTGCTAAGCAGCTGCAAAAATAACTAATGATAAATATGTGCTTAGGCAACTGTGGGTACTGTGCCTGCCTATGAATTTCCTCCCTGGATTGAAATTATCCCCTTCTTGCACATAGGCAAATATAACACCTCTTAAATCAGTGGATTGCAGAAGACCTGTGCCCTTAGTTTCCCTTTCTTGCAAGGTGTTTTCTCATAGGACAGTGCAGGATAGGAGATGATTCTAAAAATCCGAACTTTGATTTCAGAGGTTGCTTTTGCATTTGGAAAAATTTATGATGTTGAGAACACTGATTATATCTACTGTTTATAGGTCAGATCTTTGTTTATATTTTTTAATTTCATCACAACTTGAATGCCAAAACAAACTTAGAGAAATTAATATTATTGTAAAGTTAACAACATATAATTTAATAAATCAGCAATTTTGTATATAACAGGAGTTTATGTACTTATTTCATATGGAGTACAAGTATACAGTTCAACTGAATATTCCACTTTGCTGTTTTGTAGGTATGCTTACTTATATCATCATCTTGGTATTACAAAAGCATTCCAAACTCCAAGTATGCTAATAATATTTGGTATGCTTTTAACTTTATTGTTGGTGAAGACTCTAATTAATCTTGATTTCAAGCATTCTATTTAAGGCCATTTATTGAAAACATACACTGGGTCTGTGTTGTATTGCAGCATTATTTATACACAGCAAGACTGATGCAGTAATGAGTAGTGGTCCTTGTCTCCTTAAATGAGCCATTTGGTATAGCAAAACAATGTACGGTTAATATTTAAAAGAAACATGTACACTTTTCCTGAAAAACAGTGTAGCAGCTCTTTTCCAGTCCACTACCAGATTATTTTTAGCTGTATGTCATATGAAGAAGCTCAACAGGAGCAGCAGCCTTGACAGCAACATCTACTAGGTGTATTTCTATATGAAGACTTTTTTAACTAACTAAATGAGAACATGGGCCTAGGGTTAACTCAAAAGAAGCGGCTGCGGAGAACTCGAAGGTTGGAGCAGAAAAGGTAAAGGTATTTGGCTTTGAGAGGATGAAGATTTCAACAACTATACCATCAGCTGAATGGTACATTTTGGCTCCTGCAGCACTGGCATATCATACACCTTCCAGGACTGAGTCTGTTTAGGTGCCGGAATGGCAAGCATTAAAACCTGCATTTCTTCAATAACATTAAGAATATGCCAGACTCATCTGAGCTATGGTTAAGAATTCACTTGATTAAGGAGATACACCTTAAGAACTTCTGTTGTTTTGCATTTTAGCTCTGTAGGCTTTGTTTTAAAATACTTTTTTAAAAAGGCAAAAAATAAACCTGTCTGATTTTCAGAAATCGTCTTCCTCGCGACAACAACAGACGCTCTATGAACCTCCAGTCCTCTTCAAGACTGAAGACTATTTTCCATGTCTTAATGAAGCACCTTATTGATGATTTTTGCTTTGGGATTCATATGAATCAGCCAGAATAGAGACAGCCAAGTGAACAAAAGAAATGCTAACCTCAAAACAGAGCATTTCTGGGCACTATTGATGACATATTGCCATTCTGGTTCTCATTGTCTTCCTTCAGACAGTATTTTCAGGTAAACTTTGTTTGTGTTCATTATTTCAAAAATCTTCCTAAAACACCATATAAATTTTCAGATTATTTTGGGGAGAGAATTTAAGAATACTTTGCCATTAATTTTTTTTTATAGGAAAATAATAGGAAACATACTTTTATATATAAATTCTTTAACACGTAAATGTTTGTGCTGCTGCAAGTGTAAATAGCTATAACACAAGGATGGTTGTTATTTTGGGTTTTTTTCTTAATGTAATGATGGAGGTGAAAGAAAAACTATGCATAAAACCATCTACTCCAAGGTTTGAGGCCTGGTCCCTGCAGTTTGTACAGAGAAATGTACCACATTGGGGTATACTAGTTGCAAGGGGAGGAAGGGGAAGCTCATCAGGGACATGACTGGATCATAGAATCGTAGGATCAGCTGGGTTGGAAAGGACCTCCGAGATCATTAAGTCCAACTCTTGATCCACATGACCTAGTCCCAGTTCACAAAGCAAACATCCTGCTCCCACTGACGATCCTCAGATCACAGTGACCAAGCCTCTAATTAGTGCATCATTATATTGTTCGATGTGTAGCCAGGTGGACATGAGATAGATACATCTATATCTATAGATACATATAAAACAAACGTGCTGAAAACTTGGGGCAGGGATGTGCCTGACCGAGCCTTAGTCAGGCACCTCACCAGACTGTTTTCTTTTCCCTCACAACTCTCCATGTGGTTACTGGGACTTGCTGATTGCAATTTATATTGTCAATAAACTAATAGCTATCTAAACCCTGTTGTGGTCTTGCATTTCACCGGACAGTATTGGACGGCCCCTTTCTTTCTGAGAACCTTTTTGCATACAGCCTCATATAATACCTAGCAGGTGTTAATCATAAATTGTCACTAGAAATACCCAAAATTCAGATTTTGGAGGAATAAGGAATGCTTTAGGGAAACAGTATGTCTGCACAGAAAAGGGTATGGATTTGCAGAGCAAGGATTATATATTAATAGGTAAGGCTTTGAAAAGCTTATGTTCTTGTCTCCAAACAGCAGAAGGGATTGGGTTGTAAGCAGTATCTGAAACAACATTGAGTAAAAATGAAAACAAAGATCATGAAGTCAGAATTAGTAGTCTCCAAAAGCAGTCCTGATGTAAAACTTATCTGAATTTTAACATAAAGAGTCTAGAAAAATAATTGTATGTAAAAATGCAGAAAGGAACAGACATGACATTGAAGACGGGCTCCTCTTCCACCTCCCATACTCCTCACTTTCATAAATAATTCACTATTCAGATGTTTCACTGCAGCAACAATTGCATTTGTAAAAGGTATGGTACCTTTCAGTTTATGCATAAATAATGCTTGAAGGTTTATCCGTCAGTGAGATCTAATGAAATTACATACCTCTAACTCAGTGTAGCAACAGAAAGCTACAGTCAAATACTTTCAAGTGCACTAATGCTGGCATGGAAAAAAAAAAGATAACTTTAGAACAGCTTTCTAATTAAATTAATCAACTGCTCGAATAAAAGCTTTGTCCTCTGCTAAGGTGAGCCAAAATGGAGTTGCATTTAAACAGATAATATTTTAAATAATAAAGTTTTCAGTAAGTTTATACAGCTGAGTATTTGTCTTACAATATTGTTCATGTTAATGAGAGAAAAAAATCAAATATTCTGAAGTGGGAGTTTATGTTAAACAGCTGTATGAAAAAAAAAGGGCTGTATCTTCAAAGCACACCACAAACAAAAATCATACAGTTCCTGTAGTTAGTATAGTTCTGTGTGGAAATGGTCCAAAATATTTTTTATTACTGAAAATAATGGACAGTACATGGAAGATACAGACAATAAATAAAGTGTGGCTTTTTTAAATACATGATACAGAATAGCAAGGTCACAGTTCACCTGTGAGCTATAGTATAGAAAAGTTGTAAAATTAAGGCATCCTTATAACACTGACAAAATGCACACGTGCACTCTGGTGTTGAGTTTGTACCACCTTGGCTGTCTCCTTATTCGTGATCAGTCTCACAAGCAGGAATTACACAAAAAAAATCCCAAGTGTTCACACTGAGTAAAGAAAGACTGTGAATGTTCATTTTTTCTGTCTGCTGTAGTTACTTTACATTAGAACCAGTAACTATATTGTGAATTAGGCTCAATATTTAATGTTTCTGCCAGCTGTAAATAAAATCTAAATTTTATTACCGGTTTTTAACATGAAGAGGTCTTCAGCTCGAATTGATGTGAAGCAGGATGTGATTACTGTGCTGAGCTGCTAAAGGTTGGTTATCAAGCGTATGAAATGAGCTAATGTTTAATATCAAATTATTGAAATCAACACAAATCTTACTTTTCTTCTATGGCATGAAGCAAACATTTTAAAGCAGTCCTAGCAGAAGTAATGGTAAAAGTTTTTATATTCTTATAGTTACATACATTTTAGGCTAATGTTAATTACCATTAGCTTAATGCTAATTTAAATTAATGCTGCAGCTTTCTAAAAGATACATACATCATTTACTCTACGATGTATGTAAATATGTAGCAGAAGCTCTATTCACAAGCTGTGCAGATTGGACTGAATGTCAGAAGTCCACATTTTTCATAGCTCCTGGACAAAAATCAATGTCATCTGTCATATATAAATATTTAGTTATATGATAAACTATGGCTGAAGCAGGCACATAAAGATTGATATTTGTATTTAATTATTTTTGGACTGACATATTTTGTTCCACTTGAGCAGTGCTGCAATAAAGCGCAAAGAAATTACAGATGAATGCACATTATGGAAATTAAAAGAAACAGATTTTATGATTTATCTGACCAAAAAATATAATAAATTGTTTAAAGATGCACTAGATTACATTGACATCAAAACCTGTGGCATTTCATTACTTTTGCTGACAATAACTATCAAAGCTAAGGAGTTTTACCTGCACTACTGAGAAATTAGTAGCAAACTTAATTTGGACTCTATCCTGCACAGGAACTGTTTCCAGATACTAAGCTCATAAGCTGTAGAGAGTCATCCTGAGTGAAAGACCTTCCAGAATGAGAAAGAAGAGCTTACGTCTTCATCTATGAAAAGAACTTTATATTTGAAGTTGATAAATATTTTAAGATTCCCTTAAAAAAAAGAAAAAAATAGAAAACGTTTTTTAAGTGATGACATTTTTAAACTCCCTCAGTTTTCAAAGAAAAGAAAAGGAATCTAGTCTTGGACCAGCTACCAAGAAAATCCTGTGTACCCAGACCGAAGCCCTGCCTTGAAAAGCCAAAATCCCTTTCAGATATATCTATGGTCAAAGAGGATCATAATGGAGGTCAGTAATCTTTCTAGCCACTGCAGCTAAATCCTTCAGGTATCCGGAGTTTTAAACGGCTGGGATTCACATCCCTGTAGGAGCTGAGCTGCTGTGGCAGAGCAGAGGCCTTGTCCACATGGCTGCTTTTGTTGATGCTACTTTAGGCCGATGGGTGGTAGTACAGCCTAAAGGTGGTAGTACAGCTGATCAGCTCCAGCTGATCTCAGAGATTAGGGGAGTTGTCTTCACCTTTTGCTTGGGGTTATCTACTCGCAAACTCTTTCAATGCTGGTCATTTTTATGATTTTGCAAAACAGTGTAAGTAGTATGCAAATGGTACATGATGATCACAGTTTTGAAAGTGCTAAGTAACAAGCAAAGCAAAAAAAACGGGAACAGAAGGTATTGCTCCTGGGCAGTACAAAACAACACTGGGGAGACAGAATGCAGTCACCTGGAGATACAGAATGTGAAAAAGAGAAATTGAAATAATGCCTTTGGAATTATAGCAGACAAAAGGATATGGCAGGAAAACCGAAATATCCACTGTCTAAAATCCACCTGGAAGACTCAAAATGACATTTAATTTTTGTCAGCGTTAATATTGGCTGTACATTATTTGATGGACTATTAAAGTAATAAAAAAAGACATTAAAATTGCATAAGCAGTCATAAAATACGATGTTTTCAGTCCAATGTGCTATCTATAAAGGATCTTGAATAGTCTTTAAAAAAAGTATTTTGAAAATACAGGTAACTAACTGTGCTGACATAAGTAGGAAAAGGAACTGAATGTTAGCAAGGATTTCCTTAGAGGGTTCTGAGTGAAAAGACAAAGGAATGAAATTCACAAGGGGAAAAATGCACTCGCTGAGGGAAGAAGGATAAGTATCCAATTTGATTTATCATCTCCCATGGTTCGGAAGCTGTAGGTTTCTTGAGAATAGTTTAATGCCTACATTATTTAAAAATAAATTAATTGCCATCTGTTCTTTACAGGTGATACCATCAGGAGTTTCTTTACAAGCAAGAGGTCTAGAAAGCAACCTTAAAGGAAAAGTAAAAGCAGAAATTCCCACAATCCTAAGACTTTAAAAATGAGGGCTGACACTAAATATGACAGGAGTACCTGAAATGTTTCTCCGAATGTGAGTGAATCTAAAAGGTTTGCAGAGAACAGCAGGATGGCAGAAAAGCTGGTTCTGATTGATTCATACAAAAAAAAAAAAAAAAGAAAAGAAAAAAAGGAATGGTAAGAGCCTTATTCAGGAATGGAAGAGGCAGAAAATAGCACAGCCAGGAGATAAGCCAGGACACATTCTAAGGTGTAAACTTGCAGTGACACAGCATGAACAGATGAGGGCAAGATCCCTGAACTGAGAAGTCTGACTGAAGATCCACAACATACATGACATACACATGATATTGTTATTTATTCACAGTTTAGGACCTTGTTTTTATTTTTATTTTTTTTTTGCTCCAGGGTGCACTATTCCCAAGTACAGTTTTAGGAGGGGCTTTAACTGTGCTTGAACTGTGGACTAGTTCTGGTGTGTGTGTCTGGACTGGGTTGCTGTTATTGCCTCTTGTTACTGCTTCTCCCATGAAAGCAGTAGGACTTGCAGGTAGAGTTAGCCAGACCACTGGACTGTTCTGGCTAAAAATCAGTCCTGCCAAGCCAAACAGTCCAACCCCAGTGTTGATGACCTGGCACAAGGGTGGGGGGTGACACTTCTCTTCTCCCAGCCATCCCCCTGAGAGGGCAAGCAAACCACTTTCCCTGGCAGTGTCTCCCCATGTACAGCCTGGGAGATGCCTGCTATGGAATTAGCATCTGTTTCCCTCATGTTTCTTTGATTAGCCCTTTCCTCTACAGGAATGGTTTTGCAATTTGTTTGGAAGCATGGAGGGAAAGAAGAAAAAAAAATAGGCATTGGGAATAGCCTTTTGGTTGTCATTACAGAGATGTCTGTGTGCCTGCTCAGATGCTTGCTTCCAGCGATGTTTTATCAACTCAAATACAGTGGTTCAACTGCAAGTGATAAGCAGTACCCTTATTCTTGGTGTCAGAGGTTGTTGGGAATTTTTTGGAAGTGCCTGTAGCATCTAAAATCCAGTATATTATTAAGGGGAAAAATACTAAACAATATAATTGAACAAAAATTGTGTTTTCTTTCTGGATTTATTAGCTTGACTTTTCCTGAGTTTAATTGTGTTTCTGTAGTCAAAGGAAGGAAAACACAAAGCCATAATGCCAGAGAAATCTTGCCTAAGGAAGATCAACTATGATGTTGTTAGCTAACAAGGTAGATGAGCAGTGCTGTTGCAAACTCACTGCATGTACCAGTGAGATAAGTCAAGATTCTGACAAGTGAGTTAGATGAAATTATGAGAAGGATACAGAATCAACAATAGAAAGAGGTCAGCAAAAGCAGGGTTATATGAGACACCACTGCCCATCTCGAATAGTA